GTAGATATCTCTCCTCCTCTCTCTCTCTCTCTCTCTCTCTCTCACACACACACACACACCGAAATTGATTTTGCAGTTTTTCTTGTCCTTGCAGTCACCCATGGGATGCTGATTAGAGCTTTGATCAGGCGAAATTTTGTTCCTAACTGGTGCTGGGAGTTCTATTCTTTACAGCGGAAAAATATCCTGTGAGCTTGGATATTTGAATTGTTCCAAAAGAATGTTAAAATTTTTTCTCCAACTTGTATTTTAATCTGTGCAAGTGAGAGTGGAGTTTTCTATCTGTAGCATTGAACAGTAAATAAAATACAATGAGGGACTGCTACCAAAAGGTGATACCTTTCCAAGCTGCTTTCTCGCAAATAAAATCTTAATCTTATGCATTTATTAAAATATCTTTCCTTTTTATTGTTTTATTGTGCTCTTTGTTAGTTTTTGTAGTTTTTAGTAGCAATTTGATAATGGGTGTGGTATCTATAAGGTTGCAACCTTAAACAATCCAATTACCGTGCACCTCCAAATTTTATCATGACATGTAATTTTCGTGTACAAAATTATTAAGATTATCTTAAAATCTATTTACATATCTTACTATAAAATTTTAAAATCTAAAAATGGTTAAAATCAAGTAGATTTATAAACATATGAAAAAAAAAATGGACGGTCTAGATAATGTGTTGCAAGATGTATTATTTTTAAGACGCAAAATCTTTTTTTTTCAAATTCATATATCTCAATATCGAGATGATCAATTAGAGGTCTTTTCAATATTAAAATAATCTTTTTCGATAGATTTTTGAGGTGCATCTGTAATTCTACATTTGAAGGTTGCAACTTTATATAAACTTTTTCCTACTTAATTAAAGTCTAAAAATATCACAAATCGGGTTAAATCTTAATTTGGGGTCGGCTTTTATGAAGTAGACGTGTCAAAGTTTTATAAGTTTTATAATGGCTGCTTACTTAATATATAACTTCTTTTTTTTCCGAGACTATGGGACCGGTATAATCGGCTTGGGACCAAGCATGACGGAATTAATTCACCAAGTATAAATGCTTGCTTGAGGTGACTTAAACCATACCTTGTGAAATCAAAAGGGTAAAATTTCATGCTAGCCCTTTGGTTTTCTATAGTTCCTTGCAATCCCCCAACCGTCCAATATCAACATTGGATGGTTGGGGTGTTCCTTCATATACTCGAAGTGCGATAAGTTGCTAACAAATTGTAGAATACCCAAGTGCTACCACTATATGGAATTCATAAAGGAAAAGTTTACATACACTTTAAAATGTAGAATTAAGGTGCACATCTAAAATCTTTCGATAAAGGGTGTTTTGATGTTGGAAAAACATCTACTTGATCATCTTGTCATCGAGACACATAGATATGGAGGAAAAAAGAGATTTCAAGTCTTAAAAATTGGATATCTTACAATACATTTTTTGGACCGTCCATTTTTAAGATTTGCATTTATTTATAGATTTGTTTTATTTGAATCATTTTTAGAGCTTGAACTTTTATATTTAGAGATAAAAATAGATTCTCATGCCATCTTAAAAATTTTTGATACCAAAATTACCTCTTATGACAAATTTAGGAATTCACCTTAATTTGATTGTTTAAGCTTGCAACCATATGCAAATTATACCCATCCATAAATGGAGTGATGGGAGACCCCGGCCCCACCCGCCCCCTCTTTCTCTCACTCCTTGTTTGTATGTCATTTGAATATTTGAATATATGTGTGCTTATCTGCTCTCTCTCTCTCATTGTTTATGTCATTTGAACGTGTGTGCTTCTCTCTCATTGTTTACATCTCAATTTAGAGAGATGTACAAACATGTATATGTATTTTCAATTGAGACGTAAATAATTTTCACTTAGAAAATACGTGTGCATGCCTGTCCATCTCTCTCTCATATTCATTATTTACGTGTCATTTGAATGTCTGTGCCCTTCTCTCTCATTGTTTATGTATCAATTTAAAACGTGTGTTTGCATGTCGATGCAACTCTCTCTCATTCATTATTTATGCATCAATTGAAAATATGTGCATGCTAGTGCAATTAAAAATGGGATTGTATATTACAAGATTATTTATCTTTTTTGTAAGGAGGTTACAAATTCACCTAGCTATTAGATATCAAATTGAATGACTTAGAATGTCACAAAATTTGAGAATTTTTTTTTTGAACTTTATGTCTAATCAATGATATGCTCATAACTACCCGATTTGAATAAATGACTATAATAATTATGACATCCTTGTACGAAAAGTAAAAAACGTGGTTTGTGTAAGGCTAAGGCTCTAGACAATCAAAGTAAAGCGCACCTTCAAATAGTATCAGAAATAGTTCCAATACCAACAATTTTCATGATGGCCTAAAAATTTATTTTCATCCCTAATTATAAAATTTAAATATTAAAAAATAATGTACATCAAGCGTATCTATGAACACTAAAAAATATTTAAAATCAACGGTCCAGATAACGCATTACAAGATGCACTATTTCCAAGACCTAAAGTCCATTTTTTTTTATGTCCTTGCATCTCAAGGTCGAATTGAAGGTTTTTCGACATCAAAACTTCTAGTAAACTTTCGAAGTTCACATTAGTTTGATTATTTAGAGCCTCGACCTTGTATAAACTTTCTCAAAAAAAATGGTCTCTTTATATGCTTTTTCATTAAAAAATATGAGTGCATGTTTATACCCCTATCTCTCTCTCTCTCTTAAAAATGCCATACGAAATAAAGTCAAATTCATTTCCTATGCAAGTCTTGTTTCCCTCCAAAGTTTCAATTCAATCAACTCTCAACCCATTTGCCTCCAAATTTTCATACAAATACAACGGCTACAATAACTGCTGGTCAAAACTTTGAAATCCAACGGCTACAATAACTGCTAGTCAAAACCTTGAAATCCAACGGCTACCATCTCTCCATGTTCTCCACTAACCCACAACCCATAACTGACTAAAACTGCCACCTTTTATCTCCTTTAAAATCATACAAAAACTGCCGCTCTCAGATTCCTCACAAGGTTGGAGCCACGGTTTCTTAGTCCTCAGGAGAAGAGAGAGAAAACCCATTTTCAATCTTCTCATAGTTTCTGCAGAAAAGAAGAGAGAGAAAGCCATTTCAAGCCTCTTAGACCTTCTGGAGAAAAGAGGAGAACGAAAATCCATCTCATTTTCTTGCGAAAACACTCAGTAGAGAAGGGAAAGAGAGAAAACCTATCTGAATTCTGTGAAAACATTTTTTTGCAGAAAGAAGAGATACCCACTTGAGTTGTTGCAAAGTAACGTCGGAAATGGCTAATTTTTCAAATGGTGGGCGTTATTTCTGGCTTTGTGTGGCCATGGTCGTTGCCATTAACACGCTCAGGGGAGATTCATACGAGTATAAAGTTGCTGTAACTGGAAAGTGGCTTGAACCCCCATTTAATAGAACTGAAGTCTATAATCAGTGGGCATCAAAGACGAGGTTTCGTGCAGGAGATTCACTTTGTAAGTTCTTTGTTTTTCCACTCTTTTCTTCTGGAATTTTTTCCCAGTGTTGAAGAAGAAATGAATTAACTTTTTGAACAATTCCTGATACAAAAATTAACTCATTTGAAAAGAAGAGACAAATGTTGAAGTTCTGTTACCAATCACTAAAAATTAACGTTCAATTAAAACAGTTCGGGATTTTGAGTTCTTAAACACTTAGATTTGGCCATCCAAAAGGACCATCTCTATTCAATGCTAGGACATTACTTTCTCCAAGTACATTCATAATGTTTTTTTTAACTGTAATTAATTTATTTTTGTTTTTCATAAGTTCAATTAAAAAATATTTGGATTTTGAGCTCTTAAACACTTAGATTTGCCCATCCAAAAGGACCATCTCTATTCGATGCTATGACATTATTTTCTCCAAGTACATTCATAATAATGTTCATTTTTTTTAACTTTAATTATTTTATATTATTTTTCTTCATTTTTTAAGGTTGATTGCGTGTCACATCCTCAAAATTTGGGGTTCGAAAAACAATTCTAAATGGGTTTTAAATAAGGGAGTGAATCAATGAAGTGCTCCCACCAAAGTATACAATCTCTAGGGTATATATCATGTAACACATGGGTTAATTTTGCAGACTTCAAGTACAAAGAGCCAGACTGTCTCCTTGTGGTGAGCCAAGAGGACTACTCTAAATGCAACTCTACTAATCCTCTCTCTCTCTACAATGATGGAGAGACCGTCTTCAACCTCACAAGGCCAGGCCTCTTCTTCTTCATCAGTGGAATCCCCTCTCATTGCCAAAAGGGCCAAAGACTCATTGTTAGGGTTCTTGGCGACATGCCATATGGCAGCCCACCAGCACTCCCCCCAAGCTACCCGTTCCCACTACCACCACAGCCTTATTCCCTCTCTCCTTCTCCTTCACCTCTGCCGAATTTCGCAATTCCGTCCATGCCCTCCACTTTCTCTCTCTACATGGCTTCCTCCCTTCTCTCTACTCTAGCACTCTTTCTATTCAATAAATTGTAATGTGATTCTTAGTTGAAGTTGTGTTTTGTGTGTTGGCTTAGTTTGTGTCGGATTCCGTCGAACATTTGGTATTGTGTCGCAGATTCCGGAGAACATTTAGAGTTATGTTTCTTTATTAGTGGTTATAAGTAAGATATTTGATATATTTACATGCATAGTGAGGCGATTGGTAAGGGATAGGGTGTTTCAGTGTGTCAGATTCCGGCCATTGTTTTAAGTTTTCTTATTCTTATTTTTGTTGTTGTGCTAGGCTTTGGTGAATGGATTGTAATACGTTGTGAATTTGATTTTCTCTCTCTCTCATATTACCAAGTCCCAAACTTGACACACATTGACAGTATAATATTTAGAGAGATTTTTATGTGATTCTCTTTATATAGAAAGACAGATATTAGGATGTATAAATGTAAATAAAAGAAAATTCCAATGGGAGTACGAATATAGGTCCAATTAATCCAAATTCATAAGAATCCAAAGAAAAAGGAGATGGAAGAAAATATATATACAATTGGTCCCAATCTTGATAAAAAAACACTTTTTTACTTTGATAAAATATAAAATAAAAGAAAATCAAAAGAAAGTTGCATGAAAATAAGTCCAAAAGAAAATTATCCAAATATTAAGACCAGATCTTAAGGTGATAGATTTCACTTTTGATGGTTGATGGTTAGGGGTTATTGTAGCCTTCTTGTACCAAAAGTAAATGGCCTTATAATATACAATCTCAAATAATTCAAAGTAAATCATGGTTCATCATAATTTTAATAAAAGAAGTACTTGAAAGAAATTTGCCAGGCTGATAATTGGCTTGTGCGGTTGAGGTTATCTTTAATAAAACATCTAAAACACAGGATGAATTCCCCCCAAAGTTCTCTTCATAATGCTAAATCTTCAGTAATTACCCAAAAAAAAAAATCCTCAGATCATGATAAATTTAATGTCGACGATAGCTCTGATGATATCTTTTAAATGCATGTATCACAATATCACATGTTACAATGATAAGAACCAGAACCTTTCCCAATAATAATATATGCAATCTAAAAGCTAACTCACAACTTGAATTTGAAAAGAAACCTAGTTTACTTAAAAACAACTCCAAATTCTCAACAAAAAAAATGAGCAGTAATTTTTTAGGAACTGACAATGAATATGCAAGTCGAAGCTATTATGTTGAATAGCAATTATATTACTAGTTTCCAAATTAAAAGAGATGACAGTAGCCTGATGGAACTCCCCACTAATAATGATAATTGTCACTAGGATAATGCTTTCTAAATAAGTTGGACTGAAATTTCATTCAGTTCCCAGTTTTACAAGATACAAATACAGAGTCGACAGCAATAATAGTGTAATGTATAAAATGATCGCAATTTAGTTTCAAAGAATGAGTAAATGATATCAGTTTAGTTCCACAGTATTATAAAAGCTCTTCAAGGTCCAATGTCAACACTGGAGAGTAGTTACTAAAAACATTTAGGAATTTTTCTTCAGTGGAAACTAAAATGCTATTATTGTACAACTTCAACTACAATCTCCACTTGATCTTATACGAGCTCTCAAGTTTTAGAATTATAAATAGATCAATTGTTGGGATCATTGCTCACATATTTATATTTCATATGAGCATGCAACATGTGGACAAAGCAGACCCTTAGGTCTTAGAATCTACCTGTAGCTTCAATGTTAAGACACCGCACAAAACTAAATAATCATTTTTCCCAAGTCATCATTCTTATAGAACATGGTTTTTCCACTTCTAAGAATAGCAGCTGAGAGCTCACAAAAGGCAGCTCTTGAGATGAAGCATTCAAAGAAAAGACGAGAGATAAACAGCACTTCAAATGGAGCATTCAAAAAAGGGTATTAAACCCACTTTTACATTAAAGACAAGACCATCAGGCCACTCTTGAAGGCCAACTGAATACTCTGACATTTAAACACCACTGGTTCAGGTATTATTACAGAGTGGTAAATTGACAAGAACTTGATCCAAAGAAATCATACAATCAGTGTCTGTTATCATGTGACTCTCTCTCGCTCTCTCTCGCTCTCTCTCTCTCTCTCTCTCTATATATATATATATATATATATATATATATCTAAAAAAAAAATACATGAACTGATTATGAACTGAGCAGCTTTTTTGATTTGGCATATCCTAGCATGAATAAGAAGAGCAATACACATGCTGAGGAAGTGCCTCCCACAAAGGGGACAAAGAGACCTTGAACATGGTACAGTTTGCAGGGGATATTCATCCCGAAGAAACCTGCAATCACAGTGTCTATAGCAACGGCAAAGGAAGCGATGGTCAATATTAGCTGAAATTGGATGAGTTCGTTTCGTTGATTGTCAAGTTGGATGTTGACATAGTCCTCTGTGTTGTCAATGTATTCCCGCACCTATAGGATTCATTGAGTAGAAGTTCAAATTTTTGTGTCAGAACTGTGAAACTTTCAAGAAAGGATAGGGTCTTGTTGTTTCCATCAAGGCGCCTAATCAAGTACGAATTATTTCTAAAAGTCCTTCTTAAAGATAGATTTTGGATCTAAAACTTTACCAGTTGATAATCTTCATCACCATGATCATGAATTTGAAAAGAATCGATTTTAAACGTTAAAAATAGATAAATTTAAACTTTACTTTAAGAAACTTAATCTTAGTTCATTTAAAATAAGCTACATTTAAGGTTAAATTCCTTTTTGTTTTTAGATTCATGATTATGGTGGTCAAGATTATCAACCTGTAAAAAATTTAGATCCAAAAATCCATCTCTAGTATGGATTTTATAAGGGGACTACTTTTAAAATTTCCCCTTCAAGAATTCTATTGTACCGCTATACATAGCATAAGATCTATTAAAGGTTAAAGGTGCAAGTCACGTGACTGTAGAGAATCTTCATAAATAGGGAGTGACATTATACAAAAGTTACCTTTATTAAAAAAAAGACATTGTTACAATCTTCTTCTCAACCACATCAGCCATCTTTGAATGAGACTGTTGGTTCTTTCTTTTTCTATACTCTCTTACATAGTGGCCTGGTTTCTCACAAAAGTAGCATTATCCTTTCTTAGCTTTGCCTTTTTTCCCTTTTGTATTCTTATTGAAATTTAGCTTATTGTTCAAAGTTATATTTGGCTTGGGATTTCCTCCTCCCTTGCCTTCTACCAAGTGCGCCTTGAAGCGATATCTGTATCTAATTCCATCTTGTCTCGGAAATGGGTTTCCTCCTATACGTGAATATGTTTCAAGAGCTTTTTAAAGTTATCAATATGCTTAAAATTACCATGATATTCCTTCCAAGAAATGTCATTTGCAAAAAAATTGACAACCAATGACAATTATTTTAGGAATGGTTCCAAGGACAGGTGTGTCATCAATCATCTTAAAATCAATGAAACGATTAACCAAAAATTTATTACTTCCGGCATCCTCTATTGCAAATTCTTCTTTGAAAGAATCCCATAATTATTTTGCAATAGATGGGGTACACATCATATAATCAGTCGGTGAGAGGATTGAGTATATTTCCTTGGCACATATAATCATCATTCTCCCATTTTGTTGTCTTATTCACCTCTTCTATGTTGGAACTATTGGTAACAATAGGAAATGTAGTAGGCAGTATTTATCATCACCATCAGAACCTTTTTCCAACTAATTGTGGTCAGCAACACGAATCCTCGTCCACATTATACTCTATTAACAGCCATACCCTCAGTGAGGCCATAAATCTCTATATATTTTCTCACTACCATATCCTTTTGGGCCCACCCCTTGCGTTTTTTGAGCCTTCTACTTGAGCTAACTCGTACCTCCTAACAGGTGTTGTACTAGGTGAATAGTATATAAACCAATTCTAAAGATTTGATCCAATTTGACATAATCATGGTTGAGTTTTTCATTGGCTTCCATTGACAAAAAAATCACAATTGCCGTTAAATTGTTGGAAAATCATTTTAAAATAATGAATCAACCACTAATTCAAGAAAAACAAGTACATGAAAACACTTAATAATCTTACAATTAATTGGACATGGATTTGAGGCATGAAAAATCGCTTGAAGGCAAATGTCCCCTTTGTTAGTGAAACAAGGATTTACAACAGGCGACACTGCCTCGGGAATTCAAGCCCAATTAATTAATTGTGGTTTTACTTAACTTGCACTATTAAATACACCATTACTTTCTAATATTCCTAATAAAATAAAATACCAACAATGTTATGTGACTTAAGAAATATTAGCAATCCTTGAAAATATCTCCTCATTGAAGAATTTTCATCTCCCTTGAAAACTCTTAATAAATCTCTCCAAAAAGAACCTTGATTCTAAAAGGTAATATAGATATACAAGGGTTAGAGAGAGATCATTTAAAAACAGGCTAGAGAGAGTATATTCAAAAGAAATTTTGGATGATGATTTTTTAGTACAATTCATGATGCCCCTCTAAATAGAAAGTGAGGGGCCACAAATGAAAAGGTACACCCCCTTGTGGTGCCTTTTAATTTGAAAAGGTAAATATTCAATGTACAAAAGCTAACGGTTTTCAAATGGTTAATTAGGATAAAAGCTCCAATCTGGTCCTAATGTTTTGTAAGTTATAAAAAATTCAGATGAATTTCAAATTATTCTCAAAAAATCAGAGTGTTTTTATAACTTAGGAGCATCATGTGCTCAATTAGAATTTAATCAAATAATTTATTGTTTTGATATAAGCACTTTAAATATCTACATTGCCCACTTCATTTCAAAATAACAACGATAAAATTTATAATTTAATTTGGAAATATCACAAAAATTTTGCGCACAACTAAAGATACCTCATGAACTTGAACCTATAGATAGTGTAATGTACCATGAATTGTTAGGAGCTTAAGGAACTAAGACCCTTAATAACATGGCTTGATACATACCACGCACTTTTTTGAAGAAAAGTGTGTAGTACCACACACACACTCTTTTCAGTATTGAAACGTATTTTTAAAAGCCAACGCATTTTTGTATAGGCTTTGTGCTTTATCCCGGTGTTCAGAAGTGCTCCTAAGATAGAACCGTATATCTAATAGGAAGTGGTCTTTACTGCCACTCTTACATAGGTAAATTCATAAAAGGTGCCCTTATAACAAGTTTATACACACCAATGCATATTTGGTTATGGATTTTACTAAGAGTATTGATATACTCATCCTTATACCAGAAGAGTACTTTCACTAACTATACCTCAGGGATAAGCTCATTTGTTACTGCATCCAAAACGAGCACCGAATGAATTGTGTCTTCCCATTGAACCTTGTACCCGGGATCTCCATTGTGCTAGGTTAGGTTACCATGAAGGGAGCTTAAGTGGTGAATCTCAGCCCTTTCCACCTCGATGTTCTCAAAAATCATTTCCTTGGGCTTCACATAATCTACTGCAATGATTCCATCATTTGCTTTATATACTAGATTTTCCATATGCCAGATATTAAGTGTTAATTTCAAAATAATAAATTAGTTTAATATACTTTAAATTAGTATAGGGTGCTAACAAGTTGTAAAAATTAAATGAGTATAGGATGCTTATAAGTTGTAAAACCATCCATAATTTTTGAGGAATTTTATAGAATTTAATTTTATCTTTTATGACATACAAACATGTAAAAGACGACAAAATATAAACATTTATTGGCCTCCTAAGAAACCATTTGAAAATAATTAATTTTTGGACAATAGATATATCTTACCAAATTAAAAGGCAGGGGGTGAACCTTTTCATTTGTGGTCCTCAACTTTCTATAAAAGGGGAGGGGATCATAGGTCAAGCTCAAAAATCATTATCAAAAGGTTCGTTTAAATATTCCCTCTCTAGCCTTGTTTTAAACGCTCTCTCTCTAGCCCCTCATATACCAATGTTACCCTTAACATTAGAAAAATTTATACCATAGTAATTGGGATCTCCCTCTCTCTAGGAAAATGATCTTCAAGGGATATCCATTTTCGGATTGTGGATCTCAATGCTCATTGTTAAGGATCTCGATTCCATTTGTTAGGGATCTTGATCCCCACATTAAAGACCAAGATAGTGACCAAAGATGATTTTCTTTATTTATAGCCAGCTAACAATGCAACTATACTTGGTATTGCCAATTGGCTACTAGTAAAGAGATCCCTCATTTTAGTCCTAGATCATAGAGCAAGATCCCCAAAAAGTTGGGATCTCGAACCCGAATATTTGGGGATCTCGATCCTAAGTTATGTATTGTATGGGTATGGGATAGTACTCCCAACCATAAGGATCCTCTAACCTTCACAACCCCGCAGACCCTATCCCCCCTCCCATTTCCAATCCCAACAACTACGTTATACCTTTTTAGGATAAAAGTTCTCTATAGAGAGATTTACTATAATCTTTAAAGGGAGAGGAAAAATCTTCAAAGAGATATTTTAAGAATTGCTAATATTTTGTAAGTTACAAAATATTATTGTTGTTTTATCTTTTTAGGCATATTAGCAAAGTATTTAGTTCTAAGGGTGTATTTAATTGTACAAGTACAAAAACAATAAAGTAATTGGGCTTCTTGCATCCTGGAGGCAATGCATTTTCTTTTTATGAGGGAATTATCCTGGAGGCAATGTTACCAGTTGTAAATCCCATGTCGCACTAAAAAAGGGGAAAACTGCCTATAAGAGTGATTTTTCATGACTTAAGTCTAATTAGTTGTAAGATCATTAAGTATTTTTCTCATACATGTTTTAAGTTTTGTTAGGCTACTCCCTCTCATGGAGTATTTCCTTAACTTACTCAACATTTTAGAAAATTGATAAACTTACTCAATGGTCTGGCTAAGGGTATGGCCCTTGATATAGCAGAATAGTGCAACAAGATTCCTATAGTTGATCCCAAATAGTTGGGAATTGGGATAAGGCTTGGATGATGATGATGATGATGATGATAATGATGATGATATCCTTACTCTACAATGTAATAAGTTTTTGTCTAAGGGTCTTTTAAGTAATTAATCAAGGTTAAAGCAGAAACCTTTGAGAAATCCAAAACTATTCATTAACTATAGTAGATAATGACATCATTTGCATGGGATATGACATCATCCACATAGGGCCATATGGAGTATTAATTGCTTTCCAACAGCTAATAAAATGTTAATGCCAAAAAATATTATACTCCCTCCGGAGTATAATGTCCATTTACTCCCTCATGCAAACCCCACCTAAGATCAATTTTAGGACCCTAGATTTTTTTAGGGGATATATAACCTCTTCAACCCATAGATTAACCTCAATAAAAATAAAAAAATCCTAATTGCACCCTCTATGCACCTGAAAAAATAATGTCTCAGTATTTAATAGAGACCATCCAATTTTTAAAGGGTGAGATCTAAGTATAAGAAAATTCAAATTTCAAGCTTGTTATTTTGAGAATAATCATCTAGTGATTGTAGGTGGTTCTGAAAATTTTAAATTTTGAAAAAATCCTCCCAAGCAGATCTTCTGGCCAATGGATTAAATATAAACTAGACTCCCCCAGAGATATACTATATGTGCCCAAGGTTATTATCTTCATATAAAAATATCTATTCTACCAATCACTAATGATAAAAATGCCATGGCTCAACAAGTTTTTGTATTACAAAGCAAGGGTCATTAGTGACAAATGAATGTTGAATAGATTAAGGCAATACTCCACAAGAGGGAGTAGCCTAACAAAACTGTACTTGTTTTTCATGAAAATTTAGTGGTGGTTGATTTCATTATTCAAAAGAAAGTATTCCCAAGAGCCTCAGCATAAATTTATGGCCTTATTCTAAACCACAGTTACCTTAAAAGACTCAAACTTCAGAAATAGGGGCTAAAGACATGTACTAAGAAACCATTAAAATGATAAAGTGCTTTGCACATTTTCTCTCTAATTCTATTGAAGCAGCAAGTGGAATTTCCAGTAGCAACAACCAACAATTGCTGTGTCATCACAAAAAACACATTGCAGCACATGGGTTTTCCTTTTACGCTATATAAATGAAATAGAAGCAGAGACTATGTTATGATGTCAGCTCATTCTATCAACCAAGGTTTTCTTTTTTGATCAAATGAATGATTAACAAACAAGGGTTCTCAGCCCAAGAAATCTAATGTAAAAAAAGAAGTCTAACGTAATTGTAACATAACAAAACATTTTGCATAACCAACGAATCAGTGAAGCATCAAATTGAACAATTATACTGGAGAAAAAAAAATCCCACAAATCACAATTTCCCTTTGTCACAGCTAAACATGAAGAATATGTGTGTGTGTGTTAACATATAACATATTACTCACTATATGCGGCAAACATAAATAAATAAACAATAAAGTACTTACAGAGAGAATTTTGTTACGGGTCCCTTCAAGCTGCATGAAATATGCCTCAAGCAACATCTCCAAATCTTCCACATCATTGTCATCAGAATGAGCACTAGTGACAAGAGTTGCAGTACTATGAAGGTTCTCACCAAGCCTAGGCAGGCTTAGCGTCATGGTGAGGCTACATGAACCTACTACTGCAGCAGTAGATTCTAATTGCTGGTTCTGAAAATGCTTTCTAGTTAAGTACAGTTGGGCCATATCTTCATTGTCATCAAGAAGGTGCTCCAATTCATCCCTAACCTGTTATTTATCACATTTCAAGTGTTTCATGAAGGAAACCACAAATCCACATTCAAGAAAATGCTTTGTTTTGTTTTTTTTCCTCTCTCTCTCAACCCCCCTGAACGCCCCTTCCTCCCTCTCTGGGGTAAAGTACCAACAAGATGTGTAAAATTGAACACAACAGTAACAGTTAAACATGGAAACTGAATTAACTTCTGCTTTCTTCCTTGCGAAGAAAGGGATATGATTTTCAAAGCACAAATGATAGCTTGCTGACAGTCTACTCAAGCCTGTCCCAAGTTCAATCACAATGCCCCTTGCAAATATTCACAAGAATCAGCAAGATTAAAAACAAAAAATTGCTTTAATATAAAAATATATTTTCTCATGAATATTTCATAAAAAACTAATCTATATACATTGCAGTTTTTCAATCTAAATTGCATTACATGTCATAAATATTTGGTTATCTTTCCGGCACTAGATATACGGATAAATTGGCAATTTTCTTCATCTTTTTTATTAGAATTAAAAATTCCAAAGTTTTCAAGCTCCTGAATGATGGTCAGTGAAATATTATTTTTCTGAATGTGCCTGCAACAAAAATGGATCATCACAATATCAAGTTCTTCACTCGCCTTGAATTGGTTTATGACTCATTTGGTGACACAATTGCTCTAAATAGAATCTGATTGTCAAGCCGCAGGACTTCAGTTCTGAAAAGCTTAATCACGCATATGTATCTAAAAACAACTGAGTCAGATCTTTTATGAAGAAGCACTTTTGACTTGCCTGCATTCAAGAGTCCGAAATTCAAATATGCATAGGTGATCAAAGCCATGGCATTAAAATTTGGGCCAGAAAATGATAGTACAGAATACAGAACACTTGCCAAAATAGCCATTATATGAATCATCAAAAGTCAAAACACCATGTCATCTTTTAGATAAAAGCCCAGAGGCTGCCTAAGATACTCAATCCAAAAGGATAACTGTCACTGCAGTGAAAGCTAAGAACAAGTTTTGCAGGCAATATAACCTTTATAGTACTGTTCTTTTTGAAACTAAATCTTTTTTAGTGGTTGTGATTTAATGGTAGTTTTGGTGGTAGGATTGCATGAAAGAAACTCCACTTCTTTTTAACATCCCTCGCTCCATAACTCAAGCATGTTTTCCCTTCATTGAAGTTAAAAATCAGAGAAAACCATTGTGTAAGTTTAGAGTCCTTCCATCTGGCTAACTCAGTGAACAGGATAGAAATAGATATCCTTACATCTTGAAACTGCACCTAGAATACCTAACTGCACATTTTTCACACCTTATTGAATGGTCTATCCATGCACGCAGATATGAGCACTATAGACCCAAATTTTCAAGAAGAATGCTCTCCAAACTACTTTTTTTCCATTCTGGTATTTTCTTTGTTCTGAACATCTTATTGAAGATGTTAACACAGTTTTCACTATCGCCAAATTCGGCAGCACCTCCTCTTATCCGGGATTAGTATCAAAAGAAAACTATCAGAAACATTCCTAGAACCAGTCGAATTCATGTAAAAATTAAAACAGATTTTGGAGGTTATATCTGGCAATAAAAATGCTCCAAATACCAATCGAATTCCCATATGAATTAGATCAGGTTTTGGAGGTTATAAAGAGTGACTACGAATGTCCGGGATCTCGAGACACGAGAGGAGCTCATTTTCTTCGAAACGTTGATCACCCCCTACTCGGTACAATTCCGAGATGCAATAGAGTCCCTAGTAAACTCAACCCCAGGATACAGCCAGATCAAAATCTTTCCTTGAGTCTCAAGTTGCATGCACAAAGACTTAATAAATCACAGCATAAATTAACTTATATGTTCTTAACTATCAACCAAACTCTTGCGACCATCAATTGCAACTAGCTACATCGAAACAACCTCTGCTCATTCACATAGACTCACTGGGTTACAAGATAGAGGCTCAATCGGTGAAGCAGCAGGCTTCAACGGGAAAAATGAATGTCATCACAACATTATGACATTCAACATAAAGATTTGGCATCATGGTAAGCTCACGAACATGAAAGAGAGAGATAGACAAAGGTCTGGTTCTACTATTCGATTAAGAAGCAAAAAAAAGGAGAGTCCCTCTCTTCCAAAAGGAAATTTTAAAGAAAGGGGGAATGAAGTGTCATGTTGATGATGCTCCACATCATCGAGTAGGGATCAAACCCTAGATAGAAAAGCCAACAGCATGCTAGTCTACCCATTAAACGTCAATGCTTTTTATTATATAAGATACATTACGAAAAAGTATTGACACGATACTAAAATCTATTGACATCATTGATGCGTACATGCAAGTGTCTAAAAGCGTTTCAAGGGGTGCCACTACACCAAAGAAAATCTCAAGTGTTGGGGTAGTAATTTTTATATGTTTATTCTTGTCATTCTTATCAGGTAAACTATAATATCTTGTGCCACAGTAAATTATCCCTTAGGCATGCTAAACCAAAAATGAAGAGAAATGACTTCCATAATGTAAGTCTTTATTTTCCAATACCTAATCATAATACAAGTAGAGCCTATCTCATTCAGTCCCTAAACCCAACATGGATTTCTCAGTGACAATGAAGACATGGAGGAAATACTCTCCATGTGAATTCTAAATTCTAAATATACCCAATCACATGCATCTTATGAAAGTCCATATATATTTCAAGCAAGCACCTCATGAAAGTCCAAATTAAAACCTCCCAACATGGGGAAAAATATAAATGTAACATATTGTCAAGAAAACACTTCCCAATATCATTATAACTTCTCACAAGCAAAAAAGCATAGTGCAAATAATTTCCCTTTATCAGAAAAGAGGTTGACAAGTTACTGAAAATAAAAGAATATGAGGGCAAGAATGATTTCAAGTTAAGCATACCTTCTGTATACGTGCAAGAAGACGAGTAAGATTGCTTTTTAGACTACGAACACGCTCCAGATTTTTAGTGCTGACATTTCTAGCTAGTTCATCCAACACAGGATATGCTTCCTTCTGAAGATCAGCCACACTAGAATCCAAATAGGTACAAACAACCTCTAACGCAATCTCCAAGACTTGGAACTCAAAGGGAAGTTCACATTGTAGACCTTCAGCAGCCTCAGGAACAGGCAACCATTCCCCAACAGTTGTTAAGGGGATATTTTTATCGTCGCCACACTCTTGGATCCTATATGGGCTTTTAAGAGGAAATTGTTGCCTCAGTTGATCCACAAAAGGAAGAACTTCTTGGCACAAAGGGTCCAAAAGCAGCACTTCCTCAGCGGTAACTATAGCCTTTATGAATTCTAGATTGACAACCATGGCCTTCCCTCTGGCTGCATGATTACCCACAGTAACATACAGTAAGAAAAAGTTCTCTTCGCCAAATAAGCAGTGATCTCTCAAAATTTAAAATAGAAAAAAGCAGTGGTTAGCCGACATAAGTACTAAGGGAAACTGAAAATTGCATGAAACATGTTCATTTTAGATAGTCACCTTCACTCAAAAAAAAACATGTTCATTTTAGATTAATAAGGACACAGTTAGCATGCGGCCAAGCCCGCACATGTAGAAATGCAGGCTTGGCAATAAATATATTTTTGAAATATAATTCGATCCTAATTTTTAGAGAATATATAATATTTAACATGGAGATTATGAATATGAAAAAATAAATAAATTTTGGAAACTAGAAATAATAATTATATTAAGAAAACATTTGGACTATTACTTACAATTGGTTTTAGATGGACCACCTATTTGCGTCCATCTTTAAGATGGATGCTTTATAACTTTGGACCGCATATTGTACAAATGCAGTCCAGCCCGCATGAAACCATTGTTCTTAATATAAAATAATTAGCATGATAACCTACACAAACCCATAATCTGAGATAGTGGGAAGTCACTAGAGTGTTCAATAGAATCATCAATAAGCCCCCTAAACCCAAGTTTCTCTAGGAATTAATATAGACAAGAGAAATAAAGATTTGGAACCTGTTGGGCATTGATATGCAGTAAATGTGCTTCATTATAAGAAACAGGTAGAGGGGAAATTTCGTTTTCTTCTGTGGATCAACAAGTAGTTATTATATTATATGATAAAAAGTGAGGAGGGGAATATATTTCTGTATGTATCACATAGGCATGAAACCGGTTGATGATGTTGACCCCAATTTGAAATGTCAGTTGAACTGGAATTGAGTTGCTAGACACAAGTTAACCCAGAGGCAGGCGACTTGAGAATTGGTAGCTCCAATTTCTCCCAATCAGGCAACTTCTAACTGATTTAAATTAAATAAAAATGCACAGGATCTGGTCAACAAATTATTGACATCTGGGGGCAAGATGTGAACATCTAAGGCCTATATGTCGAATTAGAATGGGTGAATCAATGTTTCAATGTCTATAGCATCATGTTTGCATTTTTGGATATTAGAATACATGCCTACACACAATCTGTGCTAGACACATGTCTAAACTGACACAAAGTCACCACTTTAGACATGACAGGTGACACTTCCAGAAGGTGTCTCGAGGCATGTGTTAAATTATTTTTCATGTAAGAGCACGAGGCCATGTAGTCTGTGCCAAATGTCCAAATTCCATACACATGTCCATGATTTAAAATGTTTTTCCATGAGATTGGGGATGCATGTCTATTAGTCAGGTCAGTATGTTGTACATGTCTCTATGGTCTATGCTCGTGAAATCTTTCTGTTGCACATGCATATAATGTAAAAGATCATGTTTTAATAGTGCAAAAAACAACAAATTAGTTATCAGTACTTTTATTAGGGATTCCGTACAAAAGGTAGAAGCAAACATTGAAGTCACCAGCGTCAGACCCAATGTTGTGACTCAAGTTGTTTCTCCAATTTCTGACTCCTGATTCAACTTTGTTTCTCAGGATTTTACCAAGATCCATTGCACTCTTTTGTTTCCACAAATTTCATGATTAGACCCATTGATACCACAACAAAAGTTTATCGAACCTAAATTTGCCCTCTAAACTGCCCCTTTTCTTCTAGTACTTCTACATAATCATAAGGGTTCAACTTCCACCATAATAGAAGATCCCTTTGATTCCCTCTCATTTTTGCTCCATTACTACACCCACGAACCAGCATCTCAAGCACAACAAAAGAAATATGAAAATGTTTCTTTTTTTTTTTAGAAATGAAACATTTTCAAATTCCGATCCTACGTTCAAAAAATCGACTCAGCCAAGGTACTCGGACCCTGGCCAAGGCGAGTTCCTCGGCCGCGTCCGAGTAACTCTGGCGAGTTCAGGTCATGTTAACAAAAAAGAATAATGATAGTAAATAAGATTTATATATAATAAAATACCTAATCTTAACATTGGATTTCACGTATCATACTGGTAAGATGCGCAGGCGTGTTTACATGAGGTCAATGCCTCAATTCCTGCCCCTTGCATGTTAGTATAGTGCGTTGCCTTTTTAATATAATACAAAAGAGGTCTATTTTTTTAATTTAGACGTGAGGTAGCGATGCCGTGTATGATGGCCAAAAAGACACTCAGACGCAAGCTTAGAATATAAAGTCGCAAATAATAATAGATATAGAAAATCGGAACATGGTACTCGGCTTCAGCCTACGGGTGAGGCCGAGTAACTCACCCTAGTCCGAGTCACCTTAGTCGAGTCCAGAAACGCTGCTCCCATCCCAACTCAGAATATAAGCAGGTTCAGCGACCCAGCTCCCTATTCGTATAAAAGGCACAATTTACCGCATGCCATCCTTGAGATTATTTTCTGTTAGAGAAAAACTAGGGACAATACCTCTCTCAGTCCGGCCAAATCACGAAACAGCCTCAAACTATGCTCTAAGACTACACTTCTCTCTCACTTCTGACTGTTTGAGAATATCCATCCACCTAAGAATCTCCACACATGTAGGCATTAATTGAAAGTCAAAAGTATGCTCTCCAGTAGCATCTCCAAATAACATAATGTAATCCAACAACTACATATGGGACACTCCCCCAAATGAACGTTCCTCAATAAAACCACCTTACCTTACACTAAACAACTAATAAATCACCTAGGGAACCCAATCAATAGGGTAAAGAGGAATATCCATTGAGATTACCTCAACAAGCCTTTCTAAACATTCAAAAACTCTGAATTTTTTTCTCACCTAGAATAGCAATTTGAATCTAGAACCGTTCCAAACAGTCTAAACACTCCAAATGTTGTGAGCATTGTTTTAAATTGAGGATTAAATTGTCATGTCGTTATAAACATTCTAAACATTCTTAAATTTTTCACACCCATAATTGAATTATTGTTTTTATGAATGCAAACCTCCTTCCAACAAGGAAACTGTGTCCTATGCAGCCCCACCTCCACTTCAAAGATGGTTTCTCTAGACAAGTTCCAGCTTGTTTGAAATTAAAGCCTAGACAAATACTCCCCTCCTCGATGTGTTTTTCGCCACTCGTATCTGTCCACCATTAGACAACACAAGAATGTGAAGCCCAAGCATGGCAGCCACATATCTCTCTATCCACAACCATGGCAATCCCAATGCTCCACACTCCCATCTGAATAGAACCATGCTAAAATCTTTGATTGAAGAAAGAAAAGGGAACAAGTGAAAGGGATAACAATCCCAAGAGACCTTAGAGCACCAAAAGAAGCCTATTGAAGTTACATTCAACAAATTAACCAAGACAAAGGGGAATTATATGTTACCAACAAAGTCAGTCCATTTATTCTGAAACTTGATCCTTCTTATACTATTGATCCCAAATCAACGTCCTATTAAGATTCTCCAATTCAATCTTGCAAAGCAAATTTAAGGATACCTTCCGACAGCAAGAGTTAAAAATCTGACATGCCACTAACACCTCCTCGAACAACAGCCAGCCCCCAACACTGACTACCAAAGTTGGGAACTAGTGACAACTTTATATGCTTATTTTAGGGAAAACAAAATGAAACCAAAGAAGTCTTTGATTGGATAATGATGTGTTGGGGGTGAAAAATCTCTACTAGGAGGGAGACATAGACAATGGGATCAGGTAGAGGACAAAGTTAGAATAGGATCTGCAATAGAACTCATCAAGAAAAAGCAAAAAAATGAAACAAAAAAGGGTAACTGCGATCAATTACTAACGTGAAAGTGCTAAATCGTGGTGGAGAAATGGTTGTTGCACAATGGAGGCAACAAAATAGTAATTGGCAAAGTCCGGGAATATTGGTTTGGGGAAAGAAATGAGATGGGTGACGCTATTTATATTTTGCTATGGCCTACGACCTAGCAATGGCAAACACTTGCTTTAAAAAACGAGATGAATATTTAATAACCTATAAAAGGAGATTCTACAAAAGCCAGACAGATTTCTTCTTAGTTAAGAAGGTAGATCGACCATCATGTAAAGATTGTAAGGCTATCCCACGAAAGAGTTTAAAACTACTCGCAACATATGCTCGTCGTTATAGACGCTGCATAAAGAGATGGAAGAGAAGGGGTGAAATTAATAGGTGTACAAGAATTAGGTGGTGGAATTTAAAAAATGATAGAATAGATAAATCCTTGGAAGAAGAGAATGGATCGAAATATAGCTGCTACACCGAAACTTGGTGCAAAGAACCAACCAGACTGACCTAGTTGATAAATCAGGAATAGAACCAACTAGACTGACCTAGTTGATAAATCAAGAATACGGGACATGGCTTGTGATATGGGTTTTAGCTTATGTAAAACTTATTTAGGGACAAGTTAGCTAAAAAATGAAAATGGAACTCTGAACATGAGGTCGATGATATGCAGAATGATATGGCTAACTGTACTTAATTCAACAGCAAAATAAATTTTGGAGAAACTAGAGGGAAAAATAAATTCCAATAAAGAAACTTGGCAGTAGAGTGATGAGGTTCAGAAAGCCATTAGCAAAAAAATATCATATTCTAAAACTTCGCAATGTAAAAGAAATGGAATGATTTAAAAAAATATATAAAAATGATTAAAATTTAAAAATATAAAAATGCTAAGAAAAACGCTAAATAAATAGTAAGTAACGTTAAACTTAAGGCATATGATAATCTATACAGTAAACTAGGAAACATAAAAGATGAAAAAGATGTTTTCGAATTAGCAAAAATGAGAGAGACAAAATGTAGGGATCTATACCATATTAAATGCATTATGAGTGACAATCAAAAGGTCTTCGTGAAGAATGAAGAGGTCAACGACAGGTGGAGAGATTATTTTTAAAAATTATTAAATGACAAACACAATGGGAACACAATGGTAGAAAGAACCATTAGTATAAATGAGGGCGGAGGTCATAGATGCATCAGTAGAATTAACATATCAGAAGTGAAAGAAGCTTTGAAGATGATGAAGCATGGTTCTCAGGTGCGGGTGTGGTTGCGTTCTCGAGAGCGTTCCGGGGAGCAGGAGCTGGCTAAGGTCTGCGGAACAGTGGATTGTTGGAAGGTTCTTGTGGTTGGGATCGTCGTCCATACAATCCTATATCAAGGGAGCACGTTCCTTGTCACTAGGGAGCGTGATTGCATTAGGAAAGAATCACAATACTATGTTTTAAGGGATCGAGAATGATGCGTAGGTTCATAGTACCATTGGGCACAAACCTGAATCGGTGCATATAAATCAGTGCCGAATAGAGAAAAAACCATATGCATTGTGTCATAAACTTGAGAACTGCATTTCAAACCTGCTGGGAACAAGGATCGCAATACAAGGATCCACATTCCATCCAACCACGGGATCGAGGTTCCGGAGCGGGTCCGTGACCTTTCCTACAAGGTTCCAGCAACTATGTGATGAAGATATAAAAGGCTATAGGACCAGATGGTATCCTAATAGAGATTCAAAAGTGCATGGGGGAGATTGACATTGACTGGCTGACCGAGCTGTTCAACAAGGTGTTGAAAACAAAAAAAATGTTAGGCGAATGGAGGAAAAGTACTGCAATACCTATTTATAAGAACAATGATACATACAAAATTGGACGAACTATCGAGGAATCAAATTTAAGAGCCACACTACGAAATTGTGGGAGAGAATGATTGAGCAACGACTAAGGCATGAAATGAGTGTATCAGAAAACCAATTTGGTTTTATGCTAGTGAAGTCAACAATTAATGTTATTTTCCTACTTAGGCAGCTGATTCAGAAGTTTAGGGCGAAGCGAACAAGCCTCCACATCTAAAAAAAGTTTATGATAGAGTACCTCAAGATTAATTTAGTGGGTGTTGGAAAAAAAAAGAGTCTCCAGATACTATATCAACTTAGTGAGGGATATGTATGAGGGCGCGCTAACTAGTGTGCAAACAACTAGTGGAGAGACCAATAGGTCTACATCAAGGATCAGCATTGAGCCCATACCACTCTGTCTTAGTTATGGACAACTTAACTAGGCACCTACAAGAAGAAGTACCGTAGCGTATGTTATTCGCGAACGACATAGTTTTGATCGATGAGACCCAAATCGGCATCAACACAAAGTTAGAACTTTTGAGGGATGCTCTAGAATCTAAAGGTTTTAAAATTAGTCGGACTAAGACAAAGTATATGAAATGCAAATTTAATAATAATAGGAGTAGAGATGAGGAAGTAGTTAAAATTAATAGTCAAAACATACCAAAAAGACCGCACTTTCGATGCTTAGGGTCGATAATCCAGGAAAATGGAGAAATTGAGGAAGATGTCTCTCATAGGATTAGAGTTGGTTGGATGAAGTGGGGATGTGCAACCAGAGTTTTATGTGATAGCCACATACCAATGAAGCTAAAGGGGAAGTTCTATATGACAGTTGTAAGACCAGCGTTATTTTATGGGGTGGATTGTTGGGCGATCAAGAAACAACGTACCCTTCGGATTAGTGCCACTGATAAAAGGATATTGAGAAGGATGATTGGTAAGACAAAAGGGGATAAAATTCGAAATAAATACATTCAGGAGAGCTTAAGTGTAGCTGCAACAGGCGATAAGATGAGAAAAAGTAGACTTAGGCGGGCTGGCCATGTGCAGCGCATACCCAATACAACACCTGTTAAAAGGTGCGAGTTAATTCAAGTATAAAGCTCAAAAAGGGCAAGGGGTAGGCCCAACAGGAAGTGATTAGAAATAGCAAGAAAAAATATCGATACTTATGACCTTACTGAGGGTATGGCCCTTGATAGAGTAGAATTGCGTCATGCAGCCAACCCCAAATAATTGTAAAGAGACTATGATGATAATGATATGATGAAATGATCCAAGATGCTCACTCCTTTTTTGAAGATGCGACCAGGACTTGCACATATTTGAAACCATGTAAACCACAAATATGAGTAGAGGTACTAAGAAGTTCAAAGGAAATAGTGGCTAGTGTCATACCAATGGAATAAAATAAAATAACAAAAAAAAAAAAGTTGTCCTTCCAATAAAATTCACTGAAAGCCATGTCTGATAATCATAGTTAGCAAGTTCAAGAATAATAAAATATCGGTACACAAAAAATTGGTAATAAATCGGTTTTATTTCAAGAAGTCGGAGGAAAACATCGGGTCAAAAAATGGATCACCAAAAAATATTGGTAAGTTATAGAATCGTGAATATTTCGGATTTGGTTCAATAAAATGTAGTAAAAAAATCGGTTATGTAAAGATGACACAATATAGGATTATGATTTGCAGCTATTGCATATATATATTAAAGCCATTAAACAATATTATTATAGCCTTACTAGTGTCATTAGAGAAATATTTTTGTTGAAACTTTCAATAAATCCAGCAACAATGCTTACTTTGTTGTCACAGCCATTATTCGCAAAATTGCTTGGTTAGGAGCCGGTTCCGGTTTTGGGCGATTAGGGTGATCAACCGGTATTTAAAAAAAAATATATATAAATTCTAAAAAATAAGGAATTTGATTTGTAATACATTTTTAAATATTCTTTACATTATGGTAAAGATTAAAAATTGTTTTGGTAATTAATACTCATTTTTTAAATTTTCTAAAAGAATTTTTATATTTTTCCATCTCTTTTAGAAAATTTTAAAAATAGCCCTTGAAAAATATAAAATGAGTTAAAATCCATTTTTTCCATTAATTTTCAACTTCATTTGAATGTGTTTTGTTTTAATCAGTCTTTATATGTTTTTCATATTTTAGTAGATTTTTTTTTTTTTTTTTTCAACAGGTTTTTTACTACCTGGGACTTGCCCAGTTAGAGTGGTTGAATCGGCCGGTTTACTGGTTAGGCCGGTTAAACCGCTTCCAAGCCCATGTCCGATTAACCGTTCCGGTTCGATTTTGCGAACACTGGTCATAGCACAAAACATATCGTAGATTAATTTGGAACATAAATTGCAACAACAACAACAATACTAAACACAAGAACCAATTAACAAATAACAATTGAGAACCAAGGTATATGATTATTTTTCAAAGAATAAAAACACAAAAAACGCCGTCAATATAGGGTTGCAATTATTAAAAGAAAACGCAAAGACCCAAATAGGTAAAATGGTGGTCCATGCAAAATGCGATGTTGCATACACCAATGAAATAAAAAATAAAAAATCGAACTTCACAATTTATAGAAAAAACAACAAAATGCTAAAGCAAATTTGAATTTCACCCTGAATTCCTAGCTACCTAAATCTTTAGTATCATTTAATCTATCTCTTGCTCTTTATTAGGACACTAAGGGTTTAAAGAAAAAAAAATCATTGGATTACTCTTCTTCTAATTCTAATTATTATTTTGAGATATAAGGTTGTTATAATTTTTTTTTTGGAAATATATTGTTTGTATTTTTTCGTCCACTTTATTTAAGGGAACTCATTGATTTTTATGGAATTTTTTGTTAAATCAATATACTTAGTTGAAGATTTTTATGGAATTTTTTGTTAAATCATTATTCTTAGTTTACACCCACCATTAATGTACTCATCTTTAAACCAAAATTCAAATATATTATTAATGAATAAATAAAATTATCGGGAAGAAGTTTTTTTGAAATGTTTTTTTTGGAAAAAAAGATAAAATACGGATTTATATCGGTTCTATTAAATAAAATATGATTTTTTTTTGAAGATCTTTAGAACAAGTCCGAGTTGTTAAGGGATTTCAAAAGATTTTTTTGAAAAAACCGTGTTTTAAACGGAGACTAATTAACACGTCCTTGAAATGATCATCCGCAGGATCGATCTTGTTAACTATGCTGATAATTAACACGTCCTTTAAATGATCATCCCCAGGACCGATCTTGCTAACTACGCTGATAATTAACACGTCCTTTAAATGATCATCCCCAGGATCGATCTTGCAAACTATGCTGATAATTAACACGTCCTTTAAATGATCATCCCCAGGATCGATCATCATGAAATATAAAAGAAATAAGGAAAAAATCATAATGGAAGGAATTTCCTAAAACCTAATATGAATCATGGTACTAGAAGTGAAAAACCCATAGAAGAAAAATCACCGACAGGCAAATTTGACTTCATCAGAAAATAGAAATGGGTATTTTACTCCACAGAGAGGGGGGGGAGGGAGGGAGAGAGTAATCTAAAAGAACTCCAAAGATTGAGAAAGAGACCACTGACATAAAATGCTTAAAAATAGATAAAGAAAGAGAGTTAAGTATAAATGGTTAGAAATAGATAAAGAGAGAGAGAGAGTTAAATGGTTAGAAATAGATAAAGAGAGAGAGTTAAGTATACCTAGGATGTTAGAGGACTGAGAGAACACAGGGCCGAGAATTCGAAGATCGCGAGCAGGTATAGAAACGCGCTTCATGATGGCGCTCTTATCCCATTCCACCACCTCTGACCTGCCATTCCCGTCCAGAGTCATCCATAGCCTTGCTCCCCCTCCCTTCTTCTTCCCACCCTTAGTACTACAATTGTTTATATTGCCATTCATATTGTTGATTCCGCTACTGCCATTGAAATCCCTAGCAGAAGTGGCTGTGGCGATGGGGGATAAAATCTCAAGCTGTGAATCTCCCATTTCCACCTTCTCCTTCCAAAAATTGGGATTTTAAGGAGCCATTGATCCTCCTCCTATTCCTCCCCTTCCTCACCCTCCTTTGTAAGGCGTGGAATTATAGGGTTTTTGTTGCAGATAAGAGTGCTGTGATCTCCCATCTCCGCCTTCTCTTGTGAAAATTAGGGCTTTTTTAGATTTAGAAGTCAGCCATGGAATCATTCAGCGAGAGCGATCAAGTTTTTCGATGCACCTCCCATTCCCTCTCTTCCTCCAAAAAGAGGAAGAAGAGGTTTTCATGGAGATACTTCCATTACCAGATGATTTCCAACCTGGTTCTGTACTGTAGGATACGCTCCCCCAGGTGCATGAATTCATTCCTGTAGGATTGAGTTCCTCCCCCGAATCAACCTGCAGATCCACTTCTCGGGTAAAAGTCCTCCTAGGAAATTTTTATTTTTTTTCTTTTTTGGGGAAATTTAGAAAGGAAAATGGTTTGAAGCAACTGATAAAAAAAAATTTGTAATTCAAGCATTGTTTTTACATGGATCATCTCGACTTGATAAAAAAATTGTAATTCGAGTATTGTCTTTACATCGATCATCTCGACTTTAATATTATGTTTGTGGAAAAAAAAAAAAACAAATTCAAACTCTAAAAAATAATATATATTTTAACACAATATCTAGACATTTTATTTTATCCTTAAAAATAAGTGTGCAAATGTCCCTAATATTGTATATTTTTTTAGTTTCAAAATTTATTGTTTGTGTTGGAATTTGGCTTCGAGCATCATAGAGATTTCTCTCGTCGATGATTTGAGATGAGGCTTTGTTTGATTTTCATGAAACCTAAATATTATAGAAACTTCCTCTCCTTTCTAAAAGGCCTAGGCGACATGAGGAAAACCGGAAAAGTAAAGCCTAACCTTGAAATCTTGTCCAAAGAAACCCTTCAGGATTGGAAAACCCTTGTTTTGGCTCTAAAATTTATTTCCATCACCAATTCTAAAATTTGTAGGCCAAAAATTCTTTTTTGAGCTATTTTTTAGGTTTGAAATCCTTCTTCTTTTTTTTTTTACATATGCAATAGTCAAAGGATGAGATGATCCAGTTGAGGTTTTTTGACACTGGATTGCAATTTTAAGTGAGGTTTGAGACACAGCTTTTCTTTTTGTAATGAGGTTTGGTAGGCCTTGTTTTAACATTTTCATTCATTGAAATAAATAATATACAATAAGATTATTCGTATTTGGTACATGGAGGTCAATAAAATGTGTGATTAAATTTAAATGCTTATTCGACACCTAAGACATTTATTGTGACTTAATTTTAGAATTTCCATTATGATGAACTGTAGTAGCTGAAACTATAAAATTTTATTAAATAGTTGGATTTGTTTTTTTTTTTAATTAGTTGACTTCTTCTTTTTTTTTAAATAGTTGAAACTAGAAAAATTATTAAATAGTTGGATTTGTTTTTGTTTAATTAGTTGACCTTTTTCTAATTTAAATTTTTTTAATTCCCTTGAAGATCACCAAATGAGCCTTAGAATCGAGAATCAAAATAGATGTTTTAGTTGGTTAACTGTTTGTTCAATCACAATCAAGAGGTCATATAGGTTTGCTCACCATGATAGACGTTACATTTCAATTTTTTAGTATATGCTTGTTGATTGTGCATTGTGTATTTCTACTCCCTTTGGTTTCATCCACATTTATAAATAGAAAAGTGGAAAGAAAATTCATAAGGGAAATATCATTTACTGAGTTAAATTCCTTACAAAATTATTTAAGTTCATAATATCCCAATGGAAGGAATTTGCTTATTAATTTGAAATATATACCATAACACCACGTAGTTTTGGTACAAGGAGCACACGGCTACTATTGACCATTAGATGTGAAATCAGGTAGTTGGAAATGTATCATTGACTAGGCATAGTGTTCAAAATAAAAAATTTCTAATGATGTAATATACTTCAATCCATTAAATATCACATCCAATATTATGCATAATCGAATTTAGCATTGTTTACAGCCCAAATCTTATAATTTTTAAAGTGAAAATCCTTCAATTTGACACTCATCTTCATCGTAGCATTTTTTCTAATTAATTGGGATTGGCTACACAAATCTTGGTTCACCATTATGCTCTATTAAATGTAGGTTCAGAATTCATGATTTTTTTTGGCAAAATTTCACGTTGGTTGCTTATCTAACATAATGCAGCCCCTTTACCAAGGCACGGGATGAGTTAAGGGAAAGTTCAAGGTTATTACCTTTTTTATACATATCTCCCAATCTGACACTACAAAATCGTTATTGAAAAGTAATAGAGAAGTCGTGGGATCAATCAAATTATTATATATGGGTTGATCTATTCAAATGAACATATCCACCATTACATAACTGACAAAGCCAGCACGAGCTTTGCACTAAAATACTTGAAGCGATAAATTAACTAATATCTAATTAGAAATGGAAATACCTAAAAACAAGAGAAATGGGAACTCACATGACCAGGCTAGTTGGCTCGGGACACTCGAAACTTTGAAGCTTCGCCTGTATCACGACAGTGACTTCAGTTTATGCTATTTGCCATTTTTTTTCTCTTCAAAACTGACCAAATCATAGTTTTGGTTAGAATGAGATTGTAAATTGATAAAGTATATAATGCTATCATTTACCTTTGATACAGGGTGGTCACAAATAATCTTGACCATTGGATATGAAATTAGATGTCTATATTTATTTCATTGACTAAGTTTAAAGTTCAAAAGAAATTTTTTTGAACTTTGTGACACATCTAAGTTATCAGATTTTACATTGGATGATTGTAAGTAATTGTGACCTCCCTATATCAAATGTAAATGGTCTCATTGTTTACAACCCCTTGTAGATTTCATGATCTAATGATTGAAGGTTTAAGTTGGGTTCTCTTTAATGGGAGGTGATGTCCTATAAGACTAACAAGGGTTTATCTGCAGTTATAGACTCAAAGCAAGAACCGATTGACCAAATCTTAAGAGGATAGATGTAGGTCATTTTATAGAATTCCGAGTGGTTGGGGAAAATGTTAGGGATGCTTATCTAGTTGGGTTGAGTTCAAAATTCAAAATTCTTGTGGTAAAAAAGTGTGTCGCTCTGATCAAACGTGATTAGTTTGCCCAAACTGTGTGGCATGACTTAAAACTAACTAGATTCAATGAATAGATACAAAATAGTCTGGGCGACATAATGTATATCTCTCTGCGTAGCACACTTTGTGTCGCTCTAATCAAAGTATGCTAGAATTTCGGGATTTTGACTCTCACTATCTATGGATAATTATCATATTGTTTTCAAAATTGTACGCGACCTTCATCCTATTTTTGGAATATTTTCAAATTTGAATGAGAGTTTAAAAGGCAAAGAGATAATGGAGTGAGGAACATAGACTATGGGGCTTTTGTGGTCCGAAGTGTTTTAGCATAGTGTGGTCCTAAAGATTTTTTAAGTGTTTATAATATAAAAATAATAATAAAATTTACCAAATTAATAAATATGTGTCTACAGTCATTAAAATCATTGTTTAAAACCATTATGATTTTGGATTGGGCCACCTATCTCGATTGAGAATCAGTCGATACTGAACTAATTCTAGGAAGGTATTGGTCCTGGCTCAGTTTCCCCAGTAAAAAGGCCATTGTCATTTGTTTTAGAGTATTTGTCAAAATGTCTCTTTTTCAAAATTCACAAAATACCAAAAATCTTTAAAATTTACGTCCATGCTTATTTTGTCACGATTTTTTTTTACCCTAAACACCCTTGAGTCATCACGGACCTAATAAAACCATAATGGTCCAAGGCATGCCTCTTGATTGCAACGATGCTAGAAGGACCAGCATGATCCTATTAGGATTGTGATGGCATGATCGTATACGGACCTTATTCATGGGCCATCTTGGTCCTATCAGGATTAAGATAGTCTTTTTAATAGTCTTTTTATTCCTACTTAACCCTATAACCCCATAAAATGACCGCGATGGTCTATCTGAAATAGGACCACCGTGGTCCTAGCAGGACTGGGGGACTCAAGAGAGCCATTTGGGACGAGCATGGAAGGTTCTTGGACAACAAGGATATGTGAGGACTCTTCATGGCCCAATCAAGTATGTGAGGCATATTTAGTAGAAATAAAATAAATTGTGACAAAATGGTTATGATTGTAGATTTTTTAAAAAAAATGGTTATTTTTGTAATTTTTAGAAAATAGTATTTTGTTTATATTCACCCTTTTTTTATTTTTTTTATTTTTATTTTTGAAATATGGTGTACATAAAGGACCCAACTGCACTCTTGTATGACACTCTCTCCATGGCTCTTATATCCATATATTCAATAAGACACATTTTATTACTAAGCTTCGTCTTTTTGTCAATTGGGATTGGCATGAGCTTACACATACTTATATCAAACTTTTTCAGTATCCTCTTATAGTAGGTCGTCTGGGAAAGTTTGATAGTCTTATCTCTCATGTTTTTTATTATCTTGATGCCCAACACATATGAAGCTTTTACAAGATCTTCCATATCGAAGTGTTGTACAAGGAAATTTGTTGTCTCTACTACTACAGCAATTGAGCTACTAACAATTAGCATATTATTCACATACAACAATATGAAGACCACACCACTCCCACTGACCTTTTGATATATGCAATAATCCTCATTATTTGTAGAGAACCCTATAACAGCAAAGGTCTCTTGAAATTTTATATACCATTGTCGTGATGCTTGTTTTAGGCCATAAAATGATTTATTAAGTTTGCATACTAGGTTATCTTTCTCTATCTCCTCAAATCCCTCAGGTTAGATCATGTAAATTTCTTCTTCTAAATTCTCATTTATAAATGATGGTTTGACATCCATTTAATGAATCTTAAAGTCAAAATGGGCTGCTATGGATTCGGATGGATGGAAATTTGACAATAGAGGAAAAAGTTTCATCATAATCTACTTTTTTTTCTGAGTGAAACCTTTTGCAACCAACCTAACTTTGTATTTTTATATTTTCCCTTTAGAGTTCAATTTTTTTTTGAAAATCCACTTACAACTAATGGACTTATTTTGTTTATTTGATTTTAAATGCCCACCCAATAAATCCCTATTTTGTTTATTTTATTTAAAAAATTTATCAATTTACCTATGCAACATAAATAATTCAACTGCCTAGATCTTTTAGTTTAATTTAAAAATAACCATATGAAAGGCATGGTCTTTGAGTTGGAAAGGTTCCAAGAGGGCACAATATTTATTTTGATAGTATTTTTGTTATAAATTTTATTATTTGTTTAGATCATTAATCCAAATCGGTCTGAAACGCTCACCTAGCGATCTAACACAAAATTATCTAAACCAATGATTTAAAAATCGGCGAGTTGAACCGGGCTCGCCCGAGTCGACTCGGGAATCGGCACAACCCGTGTCGGTTCCAGCACAAAACCGGGACCCGCCCGGTTCTACAGCAGAAC